GCCAGTCCTGCAGTAATCACTCAGGGATCTAAGACCAAATGTTTCCGGCTCGAGTAAGGGGGCAGTTAGGGGTAGTGTTTCCGCTGGCAAAGTTTTCGGGCAACAGAGACATCTTTAAATTGAACTGAATTGAATATATTGAGTATAACTGGAGCTGTGTTAAACGAACACAAACGCTGGGAAGAACACTTCTGGTGACCTATCAGTCGCTCATCTTATCCTGTCCGCGATGAAGATAAAAATACACACGGTATATGTTCAACCAGCTTCGTTCGTCCGTTTGGAGGCGCAAAATCATAACTCGGCAATGCATTTGAAGAAAATCCCCAACAAGTCTGGGAAACGCTTCCCTACACCTTGCAGTTGGCTGGACGACTCCAGATGTTCCGGAGCTGAAATCCGACAGACATTCTTAAAAACCCTCTCAGGGCGGGCTCATCCATCTGTTGCGCTCGAGCGCGCTTGAACGTCAGCACACGTTGACCGGCGCTGCTGCCAGTGAGGTGGCCAGTGTTCTTCTCCTTCAGAATCTAATGATCTTAAAGCGTGGCGACGTCACGTCATTGAAGTCTGGCACCGTTTTGGCGAATGTTCTTAAGACGCTTTTGCGCAAGTTGAGAGTTTTGCCTCTTTCGGGTTAAATGACGGAGGTGGAATCGTGGCCATGTTGCCATGTCGCAGGAGCAGCCGGTGGAACTAAACAACTTGGCAGTATCGCACACGTGGTCATGTTGCCATGTCGCAGGAGCAGCCGGTCGAACTAACCAACTTGGCAGTATCGTACACGTGGCCATGTTGCCGTGCCGCAGGAGCAGCCAGTCGAACTTAACAACTTGACAGTGCCGTACACGTGGCCATGTTGCCATGTCGCAGGAGCAGCTAGTCGCATTAAATAACTTGGCAGTGCAGTACAATACATATTGCGTGTTTTTGGGTACAGGACTGTGGCTCATGTTGACAAAGGCTGCACAAAATCTGCAATTAGTGGCTGAAACGTAATCAGCCTTTAGAAACCAGGACAGCTTGGCGGTGGCACTCAAGTAAAAATTTGATGATCATTCAAGTGAACTCATGGCTGTGGTCTCGCTCGCTCTCTAGTAACACGGAGCTCAGGCGTTGGAAGAAAGGCCATACGTTGATGGACTCGTGATGATGACTTCGACTGAACATATTTGTTATCCTTGTATCTAAGGATGCATGACTTTTGTCATGAGAACCCGTGCATCACGGATTGCATTCGAAGAAGTGATGATGATGATGATGATGATGATGACGGTACGTCAGGAAAGGACCGAACTCATCCTATCTTGCTATTCTGTAACTGCCAGCTCTACTCGTAGTGTAATGGTGAGGATGGAGATAGGTCACTCGGCTGGCGGCCTTATCATGTGGTGCTACTGGACGTACCCTTCCACTAGTTTAAGGCGATGTAACCTTACTGACAGCATACTCTACCAGCCTACGATCATACACTCCGCATGAGCAGGTAATGTCCAGGGCTGCCATGTGCTCCATTGGGTGGACGATGCTGTGCAACGGGTGAGGTAGTGGCCTCACAAGCTGTCATTGAAAATGACGATTTTGATATTTGACCGCAGAAAGATGGACCTAAACGCAGATTTATACCCATACTTTGATGTAGGAAATTGACTTGGAGCATTTACAATTTCCCGTCGAGAGTTAATACATGAGGAATGTAGATAACACAGCACAAACAGCACGGTCATATCAATCATTCGCATGACACAGACGTACAAGACAAACTATACAAATGATCATATAACCTAAAAGGGTGGGAAAGAGCATGATTGTCAACTAGGAGAAAACAGTATACGGGACAGGTGTCGCCTCAGGCAGCGACTGTGCATCGGCACATGAAGCCCCAGAAGTTCGGGCGGTGGCGTGTTATAGTTTTGGTAGCTTTTCCACACCAAATTTTTCTCTTCTCGAGCATTACGTAAGATGCGATGACTACAAAAGATGCAGAGGAAGAAAACTCACAGGGTAATTGGATACCAGTTGGAGCTGAGTTGTGTGACAAGTTCATGACCATACACCGATGTCGAATATCGAATGTTTTGCGTAGCTTAGCATGCCTGCCATATTGATGGTTGCGATTGGGTTGAAATGTAAGGAAGTTGGAGTCAAATATATGTTCGTCATGATATACCATGCGATGAATATTTATTGCGCAATATTGGACCTCAGGCTGCTTATCAATTAAAAAGCGCCGACGTATGTCATGCAATGCGCTTTCTGAGAGCAAACTATAAGTTTTTCACAAATTCTTGAGACTGGTATGGATTGTTGGGGGCTAGCTTTGACCTGCGATTACAGCGGATGTTACACATTTGCCTAAGATTTTGCGCTTAAATGGTCATTTTAAACATCATTCGACACAGTTTACAGCTCTGCCCATCTTAAGACCTATAACCGTCTCAGACCTATTACCCATAAGACCTATAGCGTTTCTGAGCTAAACGTCCGCGAAGATGTGCAGACTATTTCGTGCAGGCTATTGAAGGCCATTCGAACATGCATGACGCCATAGCCACGCAATTCAAATCCTGCCACCCCACAAGCCATGCGGCGTTCAAGGTCAAGAAGAGCATTATCGTCCACCCGTTTAGACCTGGTGTCTGCGAACGCGATTTCCAAATAGATTGGCTCTCGGAAGTCAGTTGGCTCTCAAACGAAGTCCAGCAAGGCGTGCAAGCTTCAACCACCGAGCACATTTTATGCTACATAATACGAGAAATTGGACATGGTTTCTTCACTTGCTAGTTTTTAAGGAAATCAGTTTTCCTATCAAACAACTTAAGGATAATGCTAAAGCCGAGGATGTCAATGCAAGTAAGGGTTTCAGTGCATTAGCACTGAAGTAAATTCAAAATTTTACTTTGAATTCACTTCTGCTATTGTTTCGATAAAGGCATCTTGTCGAAATATCAATCCATCTACATCTCCGCTCTCCCGGTTTCACTCTGAGAAATAAGACTATTACTACTCTCTTATCCATGTGAACGCAAATAAGCAGCGGATTAATATGCAACTGCACCACGAGAAAGAGCGAATACACGAGCTCATAAGGATCTTTCGATCTGAAAACACTTTCATCCCATGTTGCCATCTCTCCACGAATTTTAAGTACTACAAGTAAGTAGCAATTTTACGCGGCTGGCTTGGCGGTACCTCAACGTCATGCAAACGTTTCATGACGCAATCAAACAATGGCGCATTGAGGAGCGAGAATCTGCTTAATGGAGAAATTGGGTAGTCTTGAGCAACCTTCTTCACTTAAAAATACACCAGTAGTTATAAGCAAGTTTATCTCACTTTACCTTATGCTTGGTTCAATATCTTTAAGTGCGAAACAATTCTTTTAACCCGACCTAAATGGACATCGCTGAACCAGCATTAAAGGGAGTGTTTCACATTTTAAGGTATTGAAGCACACATCCAAGCTCACTTACAACTATTGTGGTGTGATTTTTAGGTGGAAAAGACTGCTATGTACAGTACAATTATCTGTTTAGTAAATATTCTCCTCAATAATAAATGGTTTGATTACTTCATTGAAATTTGCTTAGCATTGATTGACAGCCAATTGACGGCCGTTATATCCGGATATCGCGCTCACGAATGTCACATATGAACACCTCGGCAATTACATTCTTCTTGGCCTTGATCGCCGCATGGCTTATGGGATGATATTTTGAATGACGTCATTGCGACATGAATGCTAAGGTGACTTCAAAATACTCTCCTCGATATACCTTCCACCATTTTCGCAGGCATGTAGCTCAGAAACTAGACGGGCTTATATCTTAGGTCTTATATAGGTCTTATATAGGTATTATATAGGTCTTAAAAAGGACAGGATTACGAACAGCACCGGAAGGTCTTAAATATGGTTATTTCAGTTCAAACCTAATATCACTGTGCAACACTCCCTTTCACTAGACATTACAACATGCCACAGTATATATTAAATGTTGCCAGATGTCTTCGGAGCGTTCGATTGCTATAGACATACCGGGGAGCGCATCTACGCCACATTTCATTTTCGGGCCCTAGCTCCACTGCTGACTCTGCCAGCCTGCAGTTTACTATAAAAAGGCCGATTTTCCTCTTCTCAGCTGTAAACGACGCACTAGAGTTTCATTTGCGGGCAGGCACGAAAATTGTGCACACCGCCCACTTCCTGCGGAGGTATTCACAAATAGCCGGAGGAAGACCAATTTCCCTCACCACCACCTGGCATATCTTACCTTGTTCTCAACGTGAGCTATTTGGTAGTGCCTTCTGCACTGGGTTCGTGCCCGGGTCCGTCAAGGAACGCGGGGGTTGCTAACAACTCCGACAGGATGAGTTCTTACAAGACATTGCCGTGCTCCGTTGTCGGTCAATTTTGCTGTTTTCCCGCTAGCCATAATCTATTAATTCACATATTTGCGGGGGCTCTGGGGAAAACAAAAAACAAGATGGCTGACGAGCCGTAAAAATGGATGCGGTTCGTGACGTACTGAGCGGCGCTCCTGGCCTTGAAAGGCAGACGGGTTCCACTATATAAGCGCTGCATGCCGTTCATAGTCAGGCACTTCCCTCGTTTGCAACCAACGCAGCCACCATGCGATCATTGGTAAGCGTCCCATGGGCAACTTGAGTCCGTTGTGTCCCTGGACAACACTAAAGATTCCTTTGAAGTTCGCTATGTTTGTGTTTTGTGGTATCCATGACCTCATGTAATATTTAACTGGATCTAGCTGACTTGTCTTTCAAGTGCGTACACAATGGTGTGTGCATCATTTCCAATACACCATTTTCATTCCATGTTTCAAGTATGTTATCCGTGTTCCATGCTCCATCATGCATGAGCTGTCATGCTCTACAAGTTTATGTTCTATTATTTCAACCATGCTCCAGCTTTGTTGCCCAAAGGCTTGTCAGGGCTCATTTGAGCTATCATTGTTGTTTGTTCGGTCATGGTCGCCCGCTGCCTAAAGAGCGGTGACAAGGCTGTTCAAACTAAGCACGTCTCCCGGGATGTTCCGCCATGTTATCATGAAGGATTTTGACAGGACTGTTGCCTGGTTTGGCCTCTCGTATATCATCCTCTGAAAGCTCGCTGCCAGCTCGACGCCACAGAACAGTGTCCATGTATTTGTCCCGCAGGTGCTGATCACCCTCACGCTGATGGTCGTGGTGGCCATGGCCAGGCCCAATGGCCCCCTGAGCAACTGTGCCTCCGACGATCTAGGGGGTGGTGACGACGATGCGGCCTCCGCCGCGCACGCCGGCCCCGCGGTGAGCTCCGGGGGCGGCAAGGGCGGCGGTGGCGGCGGCGGCGGTGATAGCAGCGGTTCGGACGCGTCTGGCGAAGATTCTGGTGAAGATGGCAGCGACAGCGGTGGTGATAGCGGTGACAGCAATGGCGATGATGGCAGTGACAGCGGAAATGGTGATGATGACTCGGATGATGGCAGCGACAGCGGAGATGATGATGGTGGCGACAACGGAGATGATGGTAGCGACAGCGGAGATGATGGTAGCGACAGCGGAGATGACAGTAGCGACAGCGGAGATGGCGGCAATAACGGAGGTGGCGGCAAAGGTGGCGGAGGGGACGGCGGCGAGGACGGTGGAGAGGATGGCGGAGAGGACGGCGGAGAGGACGGCGGAGAGGATGGCGGCGAGGACGGCGGCGACGGCGGTGACGGCGGCGAGGACGGCGGCGACGGCGGCGACGGCGGCGACGGCGGCGACGGCGGCGACGGCGGCGACGGCGGCGAGGACGGCGGAGATGATGGCGGCGAGGACGGCGGCGACGGCGGCGACGGCGGCGACGGCGGCAAGGGCGGCAGCGGCAAGGGCGGCAGCGGCAAGGGCGGCGGCGGCGGCGGAGATGATGATGACAGTGACAGTGGAGATGATGACAGCGACAACGGAGATGATGATAGTGATGACAGCGGAGATGACGGTAGCGACAGCGGAGATGATGGCGGAGATCACGAAGGGGATGACAGCGGAGATGGTAGTGATGACAGTGGAGATGATGATGGTGATGACAGTGGAGATGACGGTAGCGACAGCGGAGATGATGGCGGAGATGATAGCGGAGATGATGGCGATAGCGGTGAAAGCGGCGATGGTGGCGATGGCGACGGAAAGGATGGTGGTGGAGATGGTGACGGAAAGGATGGTGGTGGAGATGGTAAAGGAAAGCCGGGAGGTGAAGATGGCGGCGAAGGAGAAGACGAAGACGATGGAAATGGCCACCCGTACAGGAGGTGAAAAGAGTGTAGGTCTCCGGACGCCATTTTACTCCCGTCTTTGTCTCACAGACAACCCCAAGTCATGTTACCTAGTATTTAATTCTGTCTTTGATGCCTGTAGCTCTATCTCGAAACGGTTGTTGACTGCTCACGAAATAAGCGTTCTATTTTCCTGTTCCTCTGCCTGTAACATTTTCATGAAAGCTCCCTGGATTGCGTGGAGTGCGTCATAAAGCGTAGCAAATCTCCCAGGAAAAGGTGTGGCCAATGTTTCTGTGCGCATTACTATGATTGTCATCTGGTTCAGAACCATTTTCTTGTTAACTGGCCATCACTATGTGTTGCCTGTTCGTCCCTTTGTGTTCCATGTTACGTCCGTTGTTGCCACGTCTTCATATCTAACTGGAGCTCAAAATGTTCTGTTTATAGTACCTATTCCTCAGCTGTTGCAGTGTGTGATCTTGTACACTTAATGTTGTGTCCTTTGTTCTTTGTGTCTGTTCAGTTTTATCACTTGAAGGTGTTTGAATAAAACAGTTCACTCAAAGTATATGGCACAAGTGCTGATGCACGCGGAACAATGAGTAATAGCACCTCACAACATGCTGCCATAGATCAAGTCAGACTGCTAGACGTCAAGCCAAGTCGGGCCTAACTTACTCGACGTTATCACTTTCCCGTCCACTGGCATTGCACATGACACATACACCGCTTGTCGGATGCATGGCGCACGCGAAGTCTGAACCGCTCTGAACTCAGCTCAATAGCCACCTCATAGACCGAGCCCCCGTCCGAAGTGAAGTACAGCGGGTAGTTTACAATAACTCATGACCTTACCAGTTTGCTCCTCATGTGGTGTTGGTATTTGCGTCGAGGGATAAAGGAATTTTTCAAAGTTCGTCATTCGCTCTGCGCCTGGGCCTAGGAGAAAGCGCAGCAGCACCGAGACTGATTTGTGACGAATGCGGCGCGTTAGAGGGAAACATATGTTTGGGCGATAGGATAGGTAGATGGCGTACAACTATATTAAGGTAAATTTGCCTAATAATGTAGAAGTCGGGAAAACGGATCTGCTTTCCAAAGAAAACAAATTAGCGGTAGCGCAGCTGCAATTTTAAGTCCCTTAAGCAACCTTAAACGGGGAGGTTCAGGGATTGGCACTGCTGCTGACAAAGTTCAATGCCTACTTGTTTTGAGCTTAAATAAAAACGAAAATACCGCTTGAGAGAGTGGAAGCTCAAAAGGAGGACAAACAATAAGCGTTGGCGTGCTTAAGTACTAACAAAACCGTCTGGAGGACAGACGAGGCAGAAACATAAAGCCAGCAAACCTCCCTGTTCTTGGGTGGAGGTACTTTTCCTGAGGGTGAGGAAGGGAGGACCCTATCCAAACCAAGAGAAATCACTGTCAGAATAACGAAGAGGGAATTGGGGAGCGACTTTAAGGCATCAAAGTTTATCGTAAACGGAAAAAGTTAGTGATCGCTAAGTCTTAGGGCCTATAGGAGAGAAACGCAATGCATGAGCTCAAGTGCCAACCAGAAGGTAAGTGCAGCCAGAGAAAAGCAGTGCTTCAAGCTTGACCTTACAGAGAAAAGGATGACGGTGAGCAATCTTCGGGAGAATCTCCGCAAAACAGGCTGCTGGAGAACTATCACACCAAAAATGGAAGCATCCTGGCCAGGTCCTGTCAACAAAATGCACACCTGTATTGGGCTATGCTTTACCCAAAATGACGTGGAAGCTATAACCTACAAAGACCCTCGAAGGCAACAGCATATTGATAAGCATTTCATTTGCGTGCAATGTCTCCAGCATTTACAGGCACAGCGGGCTCAAGTAACGCGCTCATATATCTTTGTAGATTACTCAATTCGCCGCAACGAATAAATGAATAAATGGCGAATAAATGAAAGAATAAATAATGTATAATGAACAACGAATGACGACTGGCGGATGCTGACGCTAGCCATTTTGACCAAAAGAGAGCAGTGGCCGACAGTCGCCCGTGTCGCCCTATTCACGACCATGTACAAGAATATGCACATCACATTAGCGCATGCGCATGAATGTGCACGGGCTAACATGCACATTAAGAAGGCCCTACTAATAACTGAAAAAAGTAACTGCATAACGTAATGGGCACACCGTCCCTGAAATTCTGAGTCATGTCCGCATAGCGCATGGCATTCGTAGCTTATAGAGTGCAGCGTATAGCGTATAACGCATAACGTATCGCATAGCGAGTTAACATAGCTTACATAGGTTCCTTGCCACCTAATCTTAAGGCCAAGCACATGACACCGCAAGCCGGAGTGGCACATAAGTATCGTATTTCACCATCAAAAGCTTACATGTGCAATGATCATTCTTCACCTTGCAAATGCCGTTATCAAAGCCTCAACGTGTCCGTGAGGTTGAGGTTTTGTTGCGCATTTTAAGTTCTTCAATAAAACCGCTCTGGAAACCGCTGCGAGCGTCAGATTTGCTGCATTTCAACTGTCAGTTATCAACGTTGCTGCGATGCTTCTGTCGCACTCTGTGGGCGTACTAAAACGCGTTACATGAAAATACTGTAAATCCTGTTTCCCGTGGAGGCGTTACTCGATTGCAAATAGCTACACTTCCATGAACCATTTCGTCCCACCCAGTTCGAAAAATCATTCTGTTGGGTATATTTTTGTGTTATTAGGAAATGATGCGCGGCAAATTAATCGAAAAACAATAAGAATATACTAGCGATGAGCAAAAGACCGCTGACCTTGGGCAATCGTAGCAGGCACACTCTCCGAAGTTTTATTCAAAATACTCGGCGGGGGAGACTGAGTGATCGATCAGTGACATTTCGAAGTAGCAAACAAACGAAACTGTCACCCCTACGTAAGGTTCATGGTTGAAACAAATAATGTTCAGAGTGACAAGGACCCGGCTGGTAAGTATAGGGGATAAATCAGCGCATGCGGCGACGTAAATTTTACCGGCACTCTTGTGATAGTTTGCACGACATCGTGATGCATTCGACACTGTTTTTTTTTTTGCCTTCAAAATATCGACATTTTTAGCTTGCACGGTGGTTACTGGCGCAACCATGCGTCCCACAAACACGCATTGGCTGTAAAAGTTGCAGGTAATACGTTGGTTGACGCTTTGAAGTTGGATTCATACCCCACCGGCTCTGGCTGCTGAGTTGTGAGGAACGTGAAAAAACGCTTAAAAACGGGCAAATCAGTCTTCACCGCTGCTGTGCACATGACACGTGGCACGTGCAGCCCCACACGTGTCATGACATGATTTTCTGTTCAGTTTTCTATCGAAGCGTGTTAATTTTGCGTCGCCTCAACCCGTGGCTTCTGAGATGCAACGACAGTTTGGAACGGGCGTCCGCCAGCTGCTGTGCGGGCTGGTTTTTCGGACCGGTCATGCAAGACCAATGGCTAAAAAACCATTCGCAACACGCGCTACACGCCGCATGTACCGTGTCAAAATGCTCACCTTAAGCCACCCACTGTTTGACCTGCACACAGGTCAAAACGCAAAAGAGGACCAACGGACAGGCAGAGAGACAAACACACATATGCTGTTATGCCAAGTAGCTTTTAGTGGTTCTGCTGTTCCATGCTATGGTATTTTATGCTATGCTAGTTCATATCATTTTATGTTGCGTTAATTTAGTGATTTTAGTTTCAAAAACAAGAGCGTTTGGCCCGTCACGTGGTTCTTTCACCATAGCTTAATGCAACGTGCTTTTGGAATGCACCTTGTATTACCTCAAACAATTTGGATATTGCTGAAACTACGTCTCAGGAGATTGGAAGCGGAGCACGTGCAACACCAGCTGTAGGGATTGGAGATGCATGGGTGTAAACTATAGGCTTCTACTACCGCATGACGTGAAAACATTTGAACTGCTGAAATCTGGGACATTGAACACGTTGGTGCATAACAGCAATCCAGGCACGCGGCTGCCATTACGCTCTTAGAGCTCTGTAGATATGTACGAGATGCGTCTGCTAGTGCGTGAATATCAAAAAGGTGCCGGTTGCAGAGCCTGATGTAAGTATACAAATGAATCAAAGAGCATACAAGCCTGACAGGTTAAGCAGAACGCAGCTTTGGCTGTCATGAACTATATGTACATTACCATGTAAAAGCACCATCACCCAAAATCGTTATTATTATGCTGAGCGGTTCAATATCCACTTCTCCTGGTTCTGAGTTATTGTTGCTCCAGGAATAACTGTCCTAGCGTCACAATATTGCTAAGTATAATAAACATGCAGCTATTTGAGCATATATTTACAGACCATATACATGAAGAAGCAATCGTACCACCTGATTGGTCCTTCGCTGTTTAAGCCAGTTAATCCTAATGGGCTTGCTTCCATTCACACAACTCTCATCTCAAGAACTAAGAAAAGACATCCCACTGACATGCTTAAACTTAGCCTCGTGCTTAAGCTCGGTGATAAAAGTACCAAGCAATCATCGTAAAAGAAACTCTGCAGTAATTCATAATGGCCATGATGTTTTCAAGCTTGAGATACGCTATACAGGGATATAGACTGATGTGAGTTATTTCTATCATGCATTTAGCACTCCATGTACGCTTATAGCGCTATCATACTTGGTGCGCCACATAGTGCTGGGTGGCTTATCCAAGTCGTTTATTCGATACAAGGGGTCACAGTGTGATAACACGTGGTATGGAGCACCTCCATTCTCACTAGCGTAAGTAGATTGTCTTTCCGACGCTGTTAGGCCGCGCCGGGCCGGGTATGCGGGAGTTGGTTTCCCTGCAGGTTTTTCAAGCACACGTTAAAAAGAGCTCGCAGCAGCACGAAATTTTAAACTCCTGTTATCTATGAACTTTGCATTCTTTGTGTAAATTTTGAAACTTTTATAAACCAAAATCAGTGACCTAGGTCAGGCCGAATGGGTCAATATTTAAAACTTTGACCACAATTAACCTTTTGTGTCTTTTCCCACCGTTCAAACTTGCTGTAATATTAGAAAGTGAAAATATCTTAAGTTTGGATGTTCCAGATTTTTCGAAACAAGCAGGGTCGGAGACGAGTTGAGGTCAATTTTTGGTATTCTTTCGGAAATATTGCAATATATATGAAGCAAAGGAGTACTATCTCGGATCCACAGCCATCATATGACCACAGAGCTCATGAGTTTGATCAAGTCATGAGCTACCCTCTGCGGGTGCCTTCTGCAAAACTCATATTGAACATTAAATACACAGTTTCGTTAGGTGACTTTGGGCGCAAAATTCGAATGTTCCACTAAAAACATGTTGTGATACCATTCTAGCGCAAACGAACTCACAACAGGTCGTGGGAGACCATGCAAGATCACATGGGTAAGTTGTTCAGTGCATAAGCGGGGAACATTGTTCACGTAGAATATGAT